TAGTTGCCCTTTTCTGAACCCTTTCCAAGGCCAAAATATCTTTTTTGAGGTGAGGAGACCACATCTGTACATAGTAGTGAAGATATGGCGTACCATAGTTTTATACTTCCCCTCCTCCTTCTTCCCCTGGCTTCCCCCTTCCAGCTCCCTCCTCCCAGGTTTCCCCCTCTCCCACCCTCTCTCCCACCTCCTTTTCCCAGTCTCCCCAGAGGTTAATCCCCCCTCCCCCAGTTTTGTTAAATAAAGAGAGTTTCTATTTTTGAACACGTGTCCTTTATTTTGTACATCAGGAAGGGGGGGCTTAGGGAAGGGTTAATGGAATGAGGTGAGGGAAGAATGGGGCACAAGCCCCCGATGGGGAGGATTGGGGTGGCTCTGCGGGCTCCTCAGGGTAGAAGCTCTCCTGCAGGGCCTCCTGGATCCTGACAGGGCCTCCTGGATTGACCCCCCCCCAGATGGCAGCCTGTGGCAAGTGCAGCCGGGCTGATGGCCGAGTGCTGTGATGTGCTGAGTGTGGACACTCAGGGCACTCCAAGAAAGGACTGCTTTGCTGTCCCTCATCGAGTTAGACAAGCAAGCGGGGAACCCTGAGAACTGTCTGTCCGGAGTGGGGGTCGGGTCCCTTTAAGCACAGCCCTCGGCTAGCCTGAGGCAGCTGCTCAACACTCTAAGTCATAACCTGATGCCCTGCCGGCACTGGTTCCGGCCAGCCTTAACTTTGGTTCAGGGTCCACTCAATGTGGACATGCTATTTCGAATTAGCAAAACGCTAATTTGAATTAGTTTTTAGGTCTAGATGCACTAATTCGAATTAGCTTATTTCGAATTAAGTTAGTTCAAATTAGTGCTGTAGTGTAGACATACCATGAGGGTATGTCTACACTTGCACCCTCTTTCAAGAGAGGGATGCAAATGAAGACATTTGAAATTGCAAATGAAGCCGGGATTTAAATTTCCCGTTTTGGCGCTATTTCAAAATAGCACTATTTTGAAATAACAGACGCTGTTAAGATGTGGTTATTTCGAGAGAAAACCCTTCTCTCAAAATAACCCTTATTCCTCATACAATGTGGTTTACCAGTTATTTTGAGAGAAGGGTTTTCTTGCGAAATAACCATGTCTTAACAGCATCTGTTATTTCGAAATAGCGCTATTATGCAAATGAAGCAAGGATATTTAAAACCTGGCTTCATCTGCAATTTCAAATGTCTTCATTTGCATCCCTCTCTTGAAAAAGGGTCAAATGTAGATATACCCTAAGGTGCCACAGGACATTTCGTTGTTTATGCAGATTCAGACTAACACGGCTACCCCTCTGATAATATCAGGCAGCTCTTCCTACTACTGGAATCCACTCTAGAATTAATCTTAACAGACTTCTTTATCTTTTTACAAAATTTTCCTATTTGGATTTCAATTGTCATTCACTAAGGACTAGACTGTGGCTAGTCTTCTCATGGGTATGCAGTGAGGTGAGATTAATGAACCACATCTTCCATACTCTTGTGCTGCCTCTGGTAAAGGCTACCTAAAATCTCAGACCTGTTGGGAGCTCCTGCCCGATTAATCTTACCTTACAGGTCTACAGAAAGTTCATGAATGGAATAGAAGGGATCCTACTTATTCTGTGATTCTGCAGCTGTAAAATTCATCCAATATTGCAGAACAGTATTCCAAATTCTGGCTGCATCCTGAAGGGTGGCCAAAAGTGATTTGTTCATGCTGGGAGAGTGCAAATTAAAGTACTGAGGACCATCTATCCCTGCTCTCCTGAAATACAGTTTGTAGAGTTATAGTAGCAGGAGATTTACAAGTAAGGTCAAAGATGCAATTTGTACTTAAGAGTAGCAAGTCATTTCTGAGAATCTGTAGTTACAGGACCCTGACTTACTGAAAAAGCATTTAAAACAGCCCCAGAACTGGAATCTAGCTTTGGAAGCGATACTTCATGACATGAACCTCTGACTTCAAAGAATGAATGCTTCAATGATGTCAGAATTTGAGATTGTAATCTATGTTAAAGAGCCTTAAAATTAATGTTTTAAGGGACTATCTTGACTTCCAACAAGTTGATAGTATCAGAGGGGTAGCCGTGTTAGTCTGAATCTGCAAAAGTGGCGAGGAGTCCTGTGGCACCTTATAGACTAACTGAAGTGTAGGAGCATAAGCTTTTGTGGGAAAAGACCCACTTCGTCAGATGCATGTAGTGGAAATTTCCAGAGGCAAGTATAAATATGCAGACCAGAATCAGGCTGGAGATGACGAGGTAGATCCAATCAAGGAGGATGAGACCCACTTCTAGTAGCTGATCTGGAGGTGTGAATTCCAAGAGAGGAGAAGCTGCTTCTGTAGTTAGCAAGCCTTTCGCCGCTTTAACAAGTTGATAAGGGATCTTGAATGTTTTTTAGGATATTTGGTGACTTCTCCTAGGCACTGACAATTTAAGTGATGTACATGTATGGGCCCCATGCTCTAAGCTATAATTGCCAGTTCAGAGGTAAATTAACCAAGTAGATCTATTCATCTATCATAGTTACAGAGGAAGATATCTGTTGAAGCCTTTGACATACAATTATGCTTAGAAGACAATCTTCTGATGGGACTATAGTACAGGACAAAAAACTGGAAACCAGAAAGATCTAGTCTAACCTCAGAAGAGATACTCATCTGATGTGCAACACAAGCAAGTTACTACACTTTCATGTGGCTACCCACGTGGACAATTTTAGGAATGTTAAGAAAAATAAACCACTATCTAAAAATGAGTTTAAATCTACCATCACCTCCACAACAACAAAACACAATGAAAAAAACCACTTACTCTCTGAAGATTCTTAATCAACTATCTATTAAAAGTGTTTTTTCTATATATTCATTTCATCTCTGAAATAAGAATTTCAACAATTCTAAAAACAAACTTTTAAAATTTCACGTTTAGAGACAACTTACAATTGTTCTTATACCATATTGCTTTTCCACTTTTTCTTTAAGCTGCTTAAAACAGGCTTCCATTCTCTCATGAAACGGCCTTAGTGCTTCAGTTACTTTCTCTCCATGAATTCGGATACCTTCTGACAGGAATGGAATCTAAATACAATTAGATGACAATGAATTTTCTGGTCTTCTCTCATGAAAGGGAGTAGAGCAAGGGGATCACTACATATACTGTAAGGTTTCTAAGAGTAATATGAGATTTCATGGCATAGCAATAGCATCTAAAGCAGAACATGGTAATTTTTTGTACTATATATGCTTTTATTTTCATTCTGAGATGCCCATAATAATTTAAAATTAATGTATGCATAATTCTGCCCAGCAACTGTGAAGTACAGCTAAATGTATCAGGTTGAACAAATTTCCTTTACTTCATGCATAGCCCTCCCACCCCCCGCAAAAACATATTATAATTTAAATTTGTGTCAAAAGCTAACCAGTGATACTCACACCTCATTGGTTCCAGATCCAAAATAGCAATCACTATTATCCAAGTGAGCCACACTAGTGTGAACTCTCTCTATATATATATATATATATATATTAGAATGCATCTGTGAGTCCATCTGTCTGCCAGTCGTTTGTTCAAGAACACCTCCTAAATGGCAAGAGCTAAGACCACCAAATTTGTTATGCAGCTTCTTCTTATCCTAACTTAAAGCACGGTCAGGGTTTGATTGTGCCAAGAAAATGAGAAGTGCATGAAATGGAACTGTTTTCCATGACATCAAAAGGGAGGGGGCTGATCAGAGTACAGCAATACTACAGAGTGACTAGTGGGGGCAGTAAGTGCAGAGTGACCAGAGGGGTGGATATACCAGCTGGACAATGGCCTGCTAGGGAAAGGACTCTGAACATTGCTGGCCACTGGTCCCGGTAAGCGCTGGACGAGAGCAGGAGAGAATTTTCCCACTGGTCCTGCGACAGTGGCCCTGGTGGGACCATCCCTGGAGCTGGGCAACACAGATTGGATCCCACCTAGGGAACCCAGGATGTGTGTGGGGATAGCTGGAGGCTAGGGCCAGACCACAGACCCTGGGGGGGGGGGTGAGCAGCTGTAGTGTTATCCCTTTTTCCAGACAAACTTTTCTCACTGCAGCAGCTTGGAGCCAGGTGAGAAGTGCCTCTCCATGATTGCTGCAGCTCCCGCAGGCAAAGCTAGGGGAGGGGGAGCATGGCTGGCGCAGGTCCAGGTTTGTCTGCTTCCTGTACTCTTTAGCAAATTGTGCACTTTTGCCTTGCTCCCTGACAAAGGGGAACAGATAACAACGTTCTTGTACAAGCAGAGGGGAGAGTTGCAGCCTCCCCCCACCTGTATGGTGGGACGTTTGGGGCTAGGGCACTCTGAAGGGGGAGTGTCCCCAGCCAGCCCCTTTGACCTGCCTGGTGATTCTGTCTCTTTTCTGTATGGTTTTATGCATCTCTGTATAATCAAACCCTTGCCTTGCTCTAGATTATAAGAAGAAGCTGTATACTGAATTTAGTGATCCTAGCTCTTACTATTTAGGAGGAACTCTTGAACAAACAGACAGACTCACTCACTCACAAACTCTCTCAAATGTATAGTAGATTCTCACAGCAAAATGATTGGCCAAGTATTATTATATTATTAGTTACAGTCTGTTGATAATACAATAAAAGCATACTGACTGGTTAATAATTTAGGGCACATCTACACATCAGGGCTAAACTTGATATAAGCTACGGAACTTGAGCTATGCTAATTGTGTAGCTTAAATCGAAATAGCTTATTTTGACTTTTGGTGCTGACTACACAGCAGTTATTTCGAGACAGAGCACTCCGACTTCCCTTACTCCTCATACAATGAGGGTTACAGGAGTAGTAGTAAGCAGTCCTCCAGCTCGACAATATTTCAACATTATGTCAAAATAACTGCTTGTCTGTAGATGTGGACTATGTTATTTCAGAATAACATTAGTTATTCTGAAATAACGTTGCTGTGTAGACATAGACTTAGATAGTGTTTTAATATCATGTGCTGCAAAAAGCTCCGGGAGACATACTAAACAGCCACTTACGGCTCTTGAACCTGATTATGTTGGAACTAGACTATTAATATCAATCCTAACAGATTTCATGACAATAAACAGAAGAGAAAAACAACCTTCATAATCTGCTTCTGTTTAACAAATTCTACTTATGAAACCCTGTGTTATGAAAAAAAATACCTTAGATACGATACACACCATATTTGTTAAGTAAACATACAGTTCTACACAGCAAAAGCTACAATATTTTTCATCACAAATTGATTTTGGATTTTTAATAGAGAGTGAGGTTGGGATAAGGTGGTAACAATAAATTAATCCTCTCTTATAGCTGAAAATAATAATTTATCCAAAAGGCTGCAGTCACAAAATATCCACAAGGTTATATAATTAGTTCATAGTGTGGAGATGTAGCTGACCTTTTAAAATGTTTTGAGAGAGACATTTTCATTCCCACAGCTACACAGGCCTACTATCAGCTTCCTTTATCTCATGTTTAAGAAAAATATTTGCTCTTCCAGATCAGCTCCAGCCTACACAGTGCTCTGGTTCTGAGTCAGATATTCTTTGCAGCAATCAAGCTAAGAGGTTTGTCTTTAATAATTAATAATTAAACTGTAATACTGATTAAAACAGATTTTTCTAATATAACTGATCAGCAATCTAAATGGGCAGACTTATTACTAAGGAGGATAAGAAGTGCACAATTAAATTACATGTGAACAAATTTAAGAAATCTTATCAAGATGAATCCATGAATAAAATGCATTTTGTGCCATTTAACAGAACATGGCTGTTGCTTCTCTTGGCACTCTTAATAATATTTTTACTCTAGCTACTTTTATTCATAATCCATGTGGATTTGTACACAGTAGCAAAAATTAAACATTAGTTTGGTCTTCTTCCTGATTTTCTGTCAATAATAAATGAATCTCGGTTTCCATAGGTCTAAGTTCTGACCTTCTTGTGTGAGTAAGCAAGCAGAGCATTGGCTCCTTTGTTTTTCCTTGCTATAAAAGAATGAGAAGGCTTGGGCAACATATCTTATGGTTTATAAATCTATTTTTTGTAGGTTGGTTACTGCTGTTTGCAGGGGGTGAGGGCTACAGCAATGGTCTATTTCATTGATGTGTTTTGAAGGATTGTCAAGGAGCATCAGAAGCATGAGATGGGCACTTTTTTACTGTATGTATGTATAAAACAAAATAAATTAGATACATTAATGAGAACACTGCAGCAGCTTGACACTCCTGAGAACAATCAGAATGGCATACAGTGCCTCTTCAGCAGCTCTGCAGAGAGACCCCTCTGGCACTAATGGGACCACTGTCTTGTGCTGATCCCTCCAATATCGAGAAACCAGCCAGCAATGCTATTTGACTTATCTGACTTCTTTACATTTGACTTGACCCCAGCCAAACCTTCTCATAGCCCCATAAAGTTGAGGAAGCTCAGTAGGGCCTCCCTGGTGCCATCCCCAAGGGCCTGGAAGAACCATTTGTTTTTTTTCCCTTTTGACAATTGGACTGGGTCAGTTACAGCTCCTGAGTGGGTGCAGCTCATTTTCCTTCCTACTTTCATTTCCATGAATACAGAGGCAGGCTGAGCTCATAAATTCAGCTGGTTCTGTGGGGCATAACTAGGTAGGGCTGAATTCTCCCCTATTTGACAGAGGTGTTAATGAAATGCATGTTATGAATTAATGATAGAAATGCATGATATGAAGCTCTGCACAGAAAGTGAAACATAGGCCTGGCCCAACGGATCTCAATAGGACTGGCTATAGCAATGGCAGCTGGAATGGTCATTAAGAAGATTGCATGGGTTAAGCATTCTCTTTAGTCATAATGGAGACTAGCATATGAGCTGGCACTAGTACATTCAGTTAAACCTATGTGAAGTTCCTTGATGTTCAAAAGCAGCTGCACAAGGCAAATTAGTGGCCAAGCGTATCTGAACTAGGCCAGGTTAGTTGTGACAAAATGAGCAGTATGCACCCATAGTCTAATGATTTTGGATGAAAGGATTTGCTAAGCAAAATTGATAGGCACAGACCAGGGAGAAATGCTTGAGAGCTGTTTTTAAATGAATAGGGCTGAATTTAAGAACTTGGTGGTATCTTTAGTTTGTATTTCTGAAAGTGGAATTACTGTGTGACCATCTCTTTTCAAGGTAACGAGCACCCGTGTACATTTTGTGCATGCACAAACTATACAGAAAATACCTTCTGACTATCATCAGTTTCTCTTCCCAGGGAAACTGACCTACCGCAGGGTCCCAAATCCTTCACTGTATAGACCATCTTTTCTCTCATCCCCCACCCCTGCCAAAGGAGACAAGTAGGTCTGGTTAGCAGTGGTATAGAATTTTGATAATGGGGGTGTGAAAAAGAGAGAGAAAGAGTATGCGAAGGAGGGGCAAAGGGGTAGGAGTTAATTGAATGCTATGTTGTTGCCAAGTTATTTGACTTTGGAGTAATGATCCATTTGCTTATTTATTGATATATTTGAAAAGATTGGTAAGGGTTGCCAGAGCTTTAGATAGTGGTCTTATTGTAATCTAATAAATGATAAAATAAATGTATATTTGAAATTTAAAGAGGGTTTGGGAAAGAAGCAAAAACCAAACATAATACAGGTTGAACTTCTCTAGTTCAGCAACCTTGGGACCTGACCGGTGCTGAACCAGAGAATTTGCTGGACCACGGGAGGTCAATATTGTCTAGCAGCATTACCAAACACTTCCACTGCTTACTGGGCTCTTAGAAGACATTTAGAGGTAAATTACAGCTAAGTAACAGCACAGAACAATGAGACCCCCGGACTAGTGTCTATAAACAAACTTTATGGGACCGTGGGAAACTTGGCCACACCCCCATAAGTGGACATCCAGCTAACTACAATCTTGCTGGACCACAGATGCTGCTGGATCAGAGAGTGCTGGATTAGAGAGATTCAACCTGCATATTTTCCTTAGCCTTTATTTCAAGAAGTTTATCATGGCTCTAGTTGTCTTTATTTCTCAATATCACTCCATGATATACAATCAATAGGGATTCTGGGTTTTGGGTTAAATGGAAAACT